TTAAGGCTAGTATTGAGGGAATGAAATCCCTCCTGCTGTGGTAGAAGGTTGAGTTTGAGACCCCCAGAGTAGCCTGAACTTATATAAATCCATGGGACCCAGTGAGATTCTTCCCAGGGTCTTGAGGAAATTGGTTGTTATAGTTGCCAAGCCATTCTTCCGTAATAATTGAAAAGTCATCGCAGCTGAATGTAGTCTCTGATTGAAAAAAGGAAAATAAATCCATTTTTTTTAAAAAAGTAAGAAGAAGAACTGTGGAATTAACTACTGGCCTGTTAATCTTACTTCTGTGCCCAGAGAGATCATGGAACAGACAGAAAATTAGACTATAATGAGAAGCCAGTAGGTTTTGATTAGATATTGGGAAGAAATTCTTTACTGTGAGGGTGGTGAGGCACTGAACACGTTACCCAAAGAAACTGTGGATGCCCCATCCCTGGAAGTGTTCAAGGTCAGGTTGGAGAGGGTTTTGAGCAACCTGGTCTAGTGGAAGGTTTTCCTGGCTATCATGGGGGAGTTCAACTGCATGATCTTTGAAATCTCTTCCAACCCACATCTTTTCATCACTTTATGAAAAATATTGTTGCTATGATTCATTTTGTATACATTGTGTCCCTGATCCTGTATGGACACCATGAGTTCAGAATACCATACTTATGAAACCAGGGCAGGCACTGCTGCTTTTTTTCTGCAGTCTTTACAGAAGAACCATCTTGTATACTTTGGTAATTATATGCATATATTTATGCCCACATTTATATATTTAATGTAGATGTCTTTATATAAGTCTTTGAGTTAATAAAACTGTTTAGCAGTTTTGATTGGTGCCATGTATTTACACTTGATCAAAACTGAATTCTGTTGGAAGTTGACATGTTTATCTCCATTTTTTACTTTAACAATTGTTTGGGACTTCTTGAATGTTCAAGGAAACTCTTCCTCCAGCATTTCTCAATATATGTGACTGACTTTCCCATTACCACACCCTCCAAACGCAGATCATTTGAAACAGCGCAATAGTGAATTCTGGTATGTTAATAATACAGCACACTGAGCAGATCTGTCAGTTTTTGAAAAACAGTTTGCAATGTTAAACTGGAGTTATGTTGCAAGATAAGCAGTACTGGAGTCTCTTACCCACTGTTGAGACACACGACATGTTCATATTTGTTGATTTTTCTCTAGCGTATACATACCTTACATTGCTTTCTAATAGCATCTGAACCTTCCTTCTGTGCAATGGAAGCACCATCTAGATCCTTACTGTAATACTGGAGACTCCAGTGAAATAAGGTTTTAGCTTTGGGAGAAAACATTGTTTGCTTTCCACAGTTAAGCTCTCTAAAAACAGCTCAAATCCATCGAACCACATTTGACTGAAAAATAGGGAAATGCTGTAGCTCTTCTCACTAAAGCTGAATGAAGATACTCAGTTTTCAGGCAGATGAGGTGAGGGGGACCATGGACTCATTGCCTTCAGGTTCATCTGTCTGAATTGACTCTCATTTTGTGAACTTAGCATACAAATCCACCACTTAATTAAAATATGCTTGTACATGCTGACACTGAGCCTTGAGGGGAATGTGTATTTAAAGTTTGAGCACCCTGCAGTTTTTAAAATGTTCATTATTTAATTTTATCTTTAAATAAATTAGGTTTAAATTGAAAAGGCCTTTACTGCAATATTTTTTCCTAGTTTGACTGCAGAATGCTTGTAAACTGCCACTTTGCATGTCATATCTTTATTTTCATGTAAGTAGTCTACATTCTAATGCTTAAATGACTTTCATCTCACTCGAATATCCCAGAAAAAATAATCCTATTTTAAGGCTGGCATATAATACCTGAAAACAGAGGTTTATGCCAAATACAGAACTAGCAGAACTTAAAATCTTTGCAGTTTCTGACTTAAAAAAAAAACAACCAAGCCTCTTTTAGTTTCAGAATGATAACAGTGAATTAATATCATTTAGGTAATTGAATTAATGTGGATTTTAAAACTCAGATGATAGATTTCATAAAGGCCACATGCCAGTGCATTCTCCTTGAGCAGTTTCACATTGTTGAGTTTAGGAAAGAACACAGCACAGCTTGAACAGACAAAGGAAAAATGCCTGTTTTTTCTTGTCCCTGTTAGCTTGCAGAAGCTGATGAAGATGATTGGGATATTTCATCAGTAGAAGAAGACATTTTATTGATGAAAGAGAACAGAGCTCAGAAGGCAATGACAGTTCAGAAAAACGAGCCCAGTGCTGCATCTGTGGTTCATGCATGGGGCCTTCCCAAGAAGAGTGCACCAAAGGAGGAAGGTAACGTGTTTTTAAGGGACTGACCCACCTAGAGGAGGATTCAGTACAGTGTATTACACATTGCATGGTGTTTTGTAAGAAAAGAACAAGAGAACCTTGGTGTTTGGTTTCTTGCTATATAAATATAATGTTTTTATGATACTTAGTGGTACATAAACCACACACACACATAAATACACAGAGATACCAACTTAAATTTGAGATTTTAAACCATAATATTATCAGACTTCAACGTCATCTTAAAAGTTAATCATCTGAGGTTTTCTTTCTTCCCAAATTTAAGAAAGAAGGGAACTCACTTTGTCTTGAGAATAATAACATTTCAGGTTTGTTCAAACAATCTAACTGACTAACCAGGCTGAGATAAATATTTGAACTAGTGCTAAAGCAAAAGCCTCAATCTTATATATAATTTATATAGTAATTTTTAACCCTAACATTTCAATGTATGTAAAGGTTAAAGCTGTGTCAGTTACATAAGGATACTTCTGGTTATTTTTGAAGGGAAGGTAAGGTTGGCACTGACAGCTTGTACTGTGCCTTGTCTTCTGTGAGAGAAACAATCTACATATTATCAACTCTTGTCATTTGCTTACTGGTTGCAATTTGGGGCTTCCTGAAGCTCAAAGGTATTTGTTCACATAGCATGTCATTTTATTTTATAAACAAATGCAAAGTAAAAATATCCCCAAAAGAGTATTAATAACTATTAATTGTTTTGTCTGTTTGTTTTCAAAGGCCTTCATGAAGCTGATAATACAAGCACGTTAAAAAGCAGCTTAGTCACTGTAACAGACTGGAGTGATTCTTCAGACATATAATTGTTCCATTCCTGATTGATTGGAGGTCCTGCTTTTGGGTTCTGCTGGGGTTCAAAATGCAGGTGAAAACATCAAATGTTTCCCAGTAACTTCTCTAATTGGTCCTGTAATAACAAGGAATACTGTTTACAGAGCTCTTGTGTCTTTCAGTCTGACTCTGAAAAAGAATATTGAAATATGCATTAGTGGCCATGTCTATTTGGAAACAAAGTAATTCTTTCTTTTTGTGGCAGTTTAACCCCAGCCAAGCCCCACGCAGCCACTCACTCACTCCCTCACCTGTGGAACTGGGGAGAGACTTGAAAGTAAAAGTGAGAAAACTCGTGGGTTGAGATCAAGGCAGTTTGATAGGAAAAGCAAAAGCCACACACACAAGCAAAGCAAAACAAGGAATTAATTCACTGCTCCCATGGGCAGACAGGTGTTCAGCCATCCCAGGAGAACAGGGCCCCATCAAATGTAATGGTGGCTTGGGAAGACAAAAGACAATACAAATGTCTTCCTCTTCCTCCTTTACCCCCCACTGTATATACTGTGCATGATGTCACATGGTCTGGAATATCCCTTTGGTCAGTTCGAGTCACCTGTCCCACCTGTGTCCCCTCCAAACCTCCTGTGCACCCCCAGTCCTCACTGATGTGGTGGTATGAAAAACAGAAAAGGCTCTGTGCAAGCCCTGCTCAGCAATACCAAAAACATCTCTGTTACCAACTCTGTGTCCAGCACAAATCCAAGACACAGCCCCATACCAGCCACGGTGAAGAAAATTACCTCTACCCCAGCCAAAACCAGCACACTCATGAGTTCAGTGGTGAAATCTCTTTCATTTCTCTGAGGTGAAGATTTTGCCTCTAATGTTTACATTAAAGATTGAAACTGGTCCTGCAAGAAACCAATGAACAGAATATACTGCAGAGTATTTCTTTATACAATCTTTAATGCATATTTTTTATATTTTATCATGAACTTTATATAAAATTGTCAACATTTTAAAGAAAATATGTCCATGTATTAAACTATTACGTTTCTACCATTTACGTTTACAATAAACACTAAATGAAAAGAAAAAAGCCTCAGCTCTAAAACTAATAATCATTAAATGCCTCCTATATGGGGAAGTTGGTTTGTTGGGGGTTTTTTTGTATTGGAATTCAGTCTTTGTTAGCATAAAAGGACAACAACTGGAAAAAAAATCACAATGTCAAGCCACAGTAATGAAAGCACTAACCTGCCATGGCAGAAGTACTTGACATTTCTGCTTTGTCCATATTGGCTGCCTTCTTTAAAAAAACACAGTAATGTTTCTACTTAAATGAAGTACAAAAATAACATAAAACAAAAAGAACCTTGACTTTGTAGTTTGAATGTAATTTAGACAATATCAGATACAAAACTTTTTCTATACTGTGCCATTATTAAATAGGACTGTTCATTTTTATATTTACATTGTTGTCCCAAAATAACCAACTTTTATTGAAATTCCACCGGTCCATCAGTTTAAACTTCACAAAAAACCTGAGTTTGTGTCTGATTTTAGGGACTCAATCTAGAAAGCATTTTGTGATCATTTGTAATCTCTGTTCTCATTTATTGACTTGTACAAATACTCCCTCAAAAGTCATCACATTTCCATGGACAGACAAAGAAAACACACTAGCTGAATTTTTGAACCGCAGTATGCCAATACAGTGTGTATGATGCCATTCCCATAAGCAGCTGACATGACAAACTGAATTAGTAAATACCTCGTTTATTTTTTTTTCAAGAATGCAACATCAGCTCATGATTTCCAGGTATAAACTTTACAATACCAACATCAATCTTAAAATATTATATAATAAAATTTACATCAGTATGTAAAAAGCTGCAAGTTAATATTTTTAAAAGTCATTGTCTTAGTGGTAAGTACATAGGGCTTGGGGTGGGGGGAATCACTCTGAATGAAACGTACAAAATCACGTTTAAAAACGCTTTGAGTCTTCCAACAGTGCAACTAAACGTAGGCGTTCTTGTCAAAGTGCTTGGGTGGGCTTTTGTCAGGGACGCTGTTGTGCACCTTTGTACGAGAAGACATCACAGATGTGGCTCCATTATAGGCATACCCCCTCCTGAAGAGAAAAAAACAACCATTTACAGTGCTTCCCACAGACAGGTGGCATCTCTGCATCCAGGCATTCTAGTAATAAAGCCAGAAGAAATGTATTTGTAGGGAATGTACCTACAAATTTCAGGGAAGGTGGCACATTCCTACTCTGTGTGGTCCCATTCTAGTTAAACATTGCCACTCCAGCTGTGTCTTTACACTTTCCTGTAACACGTCTCTCCTTCACAGCTAAGTAAATTAGGGCCGAATGATGAAATAATTTAAATTGTGGCAGACCCTAGGTGAATAGTTATTCTCTACAGCTGTTCCTCTTTGTTATCACCCCTCTTCAGCTGCTGGAGGTCCCACTGCCACCACCACTAGCTCTGATGATTTGACATCAAAGAAACTTGTCTATTCGTGCCTGTAAAGCCACCTGACCACTTTTCCTACATCAGTGAATGCACTGTTTTGCAGCTGTAGTAAATGTATGAAACATATATATATATATGTATCACAAGTATTTGTTCTGAGCCAATAGCTTTTCTTTAATGGTGGACCAAGCATTAGCCTTACATCCCCTTACTTTCTTTAATCCACACAATCTTTTTCAGAATCTCATTACAAAGTGTTTTGAAACAGTAATCAAACTGCATACATATAGCAGGTAAAAATGCAGAGGTATTGATTTCTTTCACTAAGTAAAACTTGTGCTTTACCTTGCAGCATTGCTGTTTTCAGCTATTGAGAAGCAGAATATAATGCCACCAATTATGCAGAGTGATGCTCCAGCCCATCCAATGAACAAAGCTGCTCCTAATTCATACCTACAAGAAGCCAATAAATGTATTTAACAAAAGAGAGCATGGATTTAAGAGGGTTATTTCCAGAATAAAATAACTAAATACCGTATTTTTCTTTAATAACTGTCCATTGACACATAAATTATTCACCACAAAATCAGCAGCTCTACCATTCACCAACGTTCTTTTCATTATTTCCTTCTGACTCAGAAGGCAAACTCTCTCCCTGCAGTACAGCTGGGCAATGCTTCTCTCCCTGCTCAGCTGGGGTTAGGGTTAGGATTAGGTCTGGCCTTTGTGCATCTCCTCCTGGATTGCTTTGCTCTGGGGTTATGTCATTCTGTGGCCTGTTTACAACTCCAGTTCCTCCATTTCAGTTTTGTTCCTGTTGGCTCCCAAACCAAACTGGACTGGGGCTTTTGCTGGGCCAGAGACTACAAATTCTGCCTACAACTCTCCTTAAGTTTCCCCTCTGGCTCTCAGGATCTGTCTGCCTCCATCCCTCATCATCCACACACCAGCCTACGTAAAACATGAGGGTTTGTACATATGCATAATATACATATGGATACACATGCAATGTATATGTATGCAACATATGCATATACATACACAGGTGTGTCTGGTGTAAGCACTTGCACACACAGGTGCATGTTCCAGCATCTTTCTCCTTCTCTAGTCCCTGTGGCTGGATTCCATCTGGAAGAAACTGCTCCCAGCAGCTCCATGGGCAGAGTTCTCAGTCACCAGCAATGGTTCCCTCTGCTGCCTCAGCCAGCCACAAACTGTTTGCTGCCAGGAACTGCTCCCTTTGTCTCTGAGAGGAGACAGGGGTGCTTCAGGAGCATTTTCCCGCTAAGTCCACATTTCTAAATCAACAGTAGTAAATGAAGGGAAGGAAGGGCATTGGGAAGAGATTCTTTTCTTTCCCCTCAGTGCTGAAGCTTCAAGACAAGCAGCAAACCATGGATGCTCCTTGTCTGCTCCACTCCCCAGCTCTCTGCCTGAGTACCACTCTTAAAGCATGTTAAGGATGACCTGCATTAGGTTGCAGCCCAACAGTCTCCAGAGTCTCCCATTCCTCACCTTTAGAAAACACTTGTGTGTCTCTTGCTCTTTCTCTGCTGCAGTTTCTCCTTAAGGAGACATTTATCTTCTCCAGACTTCTGGGATCCTGCACGGAAACACAGGCCCCGCTCCAGCCACAGTTACCAACCAGGAGTCTGTGCGTTCATGCAGATGCTACTAAATTGATTTGTTGTAAACTGTGGTGAGGCAGCCAAATAAAAGCCCCTGCTTGACAGCCTGCCTGTGCAACTGTAACATTGTGTAGCTGCACTTCTCAGCTAGTTGTGAACATTTCCATGTGCACAGGCCCTAATTCCACATTATCAAAATATCTAACTGAAAATACCTGTCAGCTGTTCTGAAAAACTTGTATCTTTACAAAAGGGCACTGGAGAAACACACAAAAACAATCCAGTGAGGTGTAAGAAGATTCCAGACCATAAATCATCACTGGACCAGGAGGCACATGCAAGATCCGTGAAGAGCCCATGAGGATCAGGTGCACAGATTGTGAGGGGATAAAGACCTAGGGATTTCTTTGTTCAGGCTCCCTCTCTGGAGACACCAAGCTCAAGCTGAAATAAACTGACTCTGCCTCAGAACCATTCCTCAACACCAGCATGGAGCTTACAGACCTAACCCGCAATTTAAACTGCTGGGAACCATAGCTCCTTCCGCCCTGGAAAACTCTCCCATTTCACTTCAAAATATGGCAAACCTGTAAAGTTTTAATTCTACTTATGCTCACATTTCCAACAACCTTGCTAGAGTTTTCACATGACTCAAGGAGATTTGTGTCTCTCTAAGGATGGGGGTTTCTCAGATTAGAAACAGAGATCCACATCAGAGCTCATCACCTAAGATCCCATTGTATTCAACATGCAAGAAATACACACAAAGTGCACCTGTAAAACACTTTCAAGGCATTTCTTTCATTGATCTGTAAAAGCAGATCAGAGGGACTAGCTCAGATGTGAGGTAAGCCCCCTCATGGGGATCCCTCCATCCCTCCAGGACTGCCAAAGCACACCTAAGGTACAAGGACCAGGACTAGGCTCCCCACAGAAGTTGATGCAGATCACCACACTGCTGGAGAACAGAGCTGGACCAAGATCCAGGATGGCTGTTGCAGTAACAACTTATTTGCCAAGAACATTTGCCCAGCAAGTGGGAAACACAAGCTTCCATGCTTTTATCTAACCACACAAAATGGTTGACCAGAGGCTGAGGGATTTAAGGAGACCAAGCGCTATCTTCCCTTCCTGAAACTCTTCAATTGTACAGAAAAGAAATCCTGACTATATCTGATATAATTGGGTAGAAAAGGGGTACCTGAGTGTTACCTACTAGCTGGGACAGAAGACATGGCCTTTGTAGTTGGCATTATTTAACCTTTTGAAGCAACACTTGTCACTGTACCATGATTAAACAGTATGGCCCTGCTTGGGGGACTGCCACACTGCCAGGTTAATGAATTGAAGAGCTGTCCTGATAGGTCTTTCTTCCACATCTTCAAACAGAGAGAACAACCTTTCTGATTTATATTGGTACTTAGGAGGAAAACTCAAGATTTTCAATTGCATATCAATGCCTATATGAGAAGTTAGTCAGATAATTTAAATTAAAGATAGTAAAGAAGGCTGGAGGGAAATCCTGATGGTTGCCACAAGGTGCTGAATATCTTGTGCCATTTGTTTCCCACTAACAGTATCTCAAGCCTGTCTTTGACACTGCCAGAATAACTTCAGGAGGGAAATGTGCAGTAAAAGGAAAAAGGTTGGAACCCTCTCTCAGTGAAGAGACAATTCCAAATTTCCACAATATACCAGCAAACATTTTAAATGTGCCTGCGATGCATAAAAAAGTAAGGGTTCAGAGATGGCAACAAAATGGAAATTTTGCATCAGTTGAGAGAGGAAGGAGCTGAATGCCACCATTGGCTCAGTCTGATGCAAGGTCACTGCATGAGCTACGTGCATTGTGCACAACTCAAATTAAAATTTCAGAATTTCCCCCCTGTCTTTATCTTTGCAATCATGATTATGTCTGCCTGCAGCTGAGCTATGCTGGTTGTCCCACAAAAAAAAAGGTAATTTCTGGAGAGGATATTTTACTACCATTATTTCAATATTTAAACTGGATTTCTCATTCCTTCACAGTAAAATTCCACCCTAAGGTCTGCCTGCTCTTTTGTAGCAGACAAGGGTAGGAATACAGTGTAGGAAAAGGACTTCTGGCAGCAATCATGGTATTTTTCACTAAGAACAGTAAGCCTGATGAATAATTAACTTCTGTCTATATAGCCAGGCTCCATTTTCTTCCAAGAACCTCACATCCTCCTTTCTTTTGGTGGCCTTTCAAGCCTGTCTTCTCTACATCAAATAAACAGAAACTATAGGGGAATTATGGAGAAAACTAATACAAGACTACTAATACAAAACTAATACTGTTTCAGGAAAAGCAGTGTCAACCCTACTGCAAATGTAGATCCCTTTAGTGTTATTTATTCAGACTATTTTCTTTCTGTCAAAGTGAAACATAAAGGGTCAGGGCTCCTTACTGATCCCTTACTTGGGTCCCAGGGAAATGTACACCCAATGCTTGGCATATTCTGGAATCACTGCCAACAAAACTTTAAAATCCTTGCCTTTAAAAAAAGAGTTTACACCATGTATTAAGGCAAAACATGAAAGTCTCTGATGGTATAATTTACAGCCAACATTGTCAGACCTGGTAGTTAAGAATGTCAATCCAAAATCCAAGCGTTGGTTTGTGGATTGTTGCTTTTGCAGATCCTGAGAATTTGCACAGCTTTAAAGGAAGTCTTCAGGGATGCTGATTATCTCTGGTGTGGATCCCAAAATTCTATAAATACTCACTCTCTTAAATTTAATTACAGGTATAGGCAAAGTCGTTATGTTAATGCTTAAAAGATCATGGGTTTTGATGAGGTTTATGATCCAAATTTCAGTCACCTGGATTTGAAAATCTTCCAGCAAAATTCCACCAAGCCTGCAGAAACCTCTCCTCAAGAGGAATTAAGATTGCGTGGTGCTCAACACATTTATCAAAGCCACCTTCTGTCGAAGGCTCCAGGAAATACTTTCCTCCCTTCCCTATCAAAAGATGCACCTAATGAGCCCCTGTGTCTTGTGCAATCCTTCAGCTGCACCTCTGGCATCCAGGCAGGCTCCATTCCCAATTAACCCCAGCAGCCCTGCCAGCTCTGGGCACGCGGATTGCAGAGCCATCACTGTGCAGCAAAGTGTTTATTCATTGAATTTCAGCACCTGGTTGCTCCAGTTAGAAATTGTGGTTACATAAAACTGCAGCCCACTCTCCTCCTCTGCCCAGGGGGAGAAGCAGCTGCTCTCTGTCTAAACAGGCTGTGGTGTGCAGTAGGAAACCTAAGGAATACTTGTTTGAAAGATTTATGGGTATAGGAAAGTACTTACTTTTGTGCAACAAAAGAAGGGTCAAAGAACTCAGACGTAATCCTGTTTGCATACAGGGAACAACTAGTCATAGAGCACAACCCTGAAAAGCATAAGACAAACCATTCAGTGGAGCTGGCAGCAGAGCTTTGGGCCTGGCCCTGAAGTCAACGAAGTCATGGAGGATTGTGCACGGGTTTCTGTGGAAAAGAAGCGGCTCCGGTATGACTTCAAATAGGCAAACTGATAAAAATAAAGTATATTTACCAGAGAGTATGAAAATCAGTCCAGCTAAACAAGCTATTTTTGCTTTAGTCTGATCAGAGCCTCCAACTTTTGTACATTTCATCCCAACCAGTCCAAAAACGGCACCGAAGAAGCCCAGACAGACAGCGGAGATCATCAATCCTCTGCAGGCCTGGATGTAACCTGTGAGAGAAAGAGCAAGGCTGATATGAGAACTGGGACCATGACAGGTTTTGCTGTACCTTCCCACCCTCTGTGCAGCATCAGGCACTCACTATTGCAAGTGGACTCAGATTTTGGCTGGAACAGCATCACTTTACCACTGAGTGTGTTCCTCCAGATGATGTGTGCCCTTCACAGGGCATCATCACTGTGCCCAGCTCATAAGAATCATACTATGGCACCCAGGGCTCCAAAACATTATCCCATGGCACTGAGTATAGCATCTGCAGAGGTTATACCCATGAGGTCTAGAAGAGCAACTCCACGTGGTCTGATCAGGTCATAAGTTGCAGAGCCACCCTTTAAGTGCAGTGCACTCAAAGCAAGTCTTACATCAGTGCAGTTGTGTCTCAGGTGCAATATGGCTGGCAGTGAGGCTGGCAGCAGAGACCCTGGCTGGGGTCCTGAGCCTTCCTAGACCTGCCAGGATGTGCCACTGATTTGATTTGGATCTGCCCAGCAGGGCCTCATTCTGCAAGGAAGCCAGCCACGCACTCAGCTCCATGGACAGCAGTAGTGCCTTGGCATAAAGCAAATCACTGCCATACTTAAACCTGGACAAACAGCTTGCACCTGGCTTCAGCCACAAACAATTTGGCTGAGACTGCTCCCAGAGGGACTCCTAGGGCAGGACCCTTCAGGGGGACAATGGGCTGCTTGGCCTCTTCTCCCTTCCGAGAATATCTTGTAATTGAAGGACTGTGATAATCTCATATCGCTGCTTACGGGGTGGAACGCTGCAATCTTACACAGCTGAATAACCATCACAAGATGTTTTTCTTCATAACCTGTTGTTACATCTCATTTAGAATGAAAATGAACTCCCACTATTAGGGCATTCATTCTTTTTGCTTTGATCTCCAGTGGGTGGAAATGTTGACAGCTAAACCACATTGTCATTGCCTATTACCTCAAATTTTATGTAATAATAAATAAACAAAAAAACCCCACCAAACCCTGCATAGAAGTTTTAATATGTAAGAAAACAATATACTAAAGCAGGAACTAGAGGACATCTGATGAAAACAGAAGGCAGCAGATTCAAAACAAAAGGTATGCTTGTTTGTAAAATGAAGCGGTGGAATTCCTTTCTACAGGATGTGTGGACACTAAGGGTTTTCTGAGACTCAGAGACTGGATACGTTCCTGATGGAGAAGTCTGTGTCTGGCAGGCAGGATTTGGATGCAGATGGCTACCACAGACACCTGGCCACCTTCTGCTACCCTCAGTGCCACCTCCTTTAGCCACTGCCAAAGGCCCTGCTTAAACAATGCTTTAAATCCTGCACTGATTCACAGCTTTGAGCAACAAAGCAATTTGTAGCACATAACACCCCATTTTAGCAGGCCTGCTGATCTGGGAGCTGTGCTGCCCATCTGTGAACACAACCTACTGGGAGGTAGGCACCTGTACCTCTGCTGGCACCACAGACAGACTTCTTTCATTTACATCTGTAAGGCTTCTGTAACCCACCTGCTCAAGAAAGACACAGTCAGTGACATAAGTGTGACTGTCACACGGCTCACATGTTGGAATGTGAGAGAGAGTGATTTGTGTGAGACTCAGGTTTGAGGACAGCAGCCTTGCTTTGTTAATTTTTGCTATAGGCATGGAAAACTTGGCTTATGCTGCTTTAGGTGGTGTGTAATGTATTTCTTGTGGCAGACAGGTAAAGCACGAGATGAAGAGTGGAAAGGAAGCTATTATTTCTGACAGGTCCAATTTATTGACAGTGTTAGTTAGCTAATTGACACATTAAAGTGCTGAACCATGAACATGTTTACCCAGAGGTCCTCTAAACTTTTATTTATGTCTGAACCTCCTAGGAAAACCAGTAAATATTCACCCCAACTAAAATATCCAACATTTGCTAGTAACCACAGGGCTGAAATTCAGTTTTTCCTGAAGGTCAATACACAGTTTTAAAATAGGTAGAGGGTAGTGAGACAGCAAGAAATAATTAACTCACTCACTCAGAAATCATTTTCAATTATAAACAGCATGAGCTGGAGGACTGCTCAGTTCTGCTGAATGAATAACCTTTCTCACTGAATAATTCACCAAATTGGGCAGGCCAGCTATAGTAGGGCTTGTTTCAGTTCACCAGAGCAGTCAGCCAACTGGCACACATTTTTAAACCAAAATACAGGGGAAAAAAAAAAAACCAATTTACACCAGTACTGTGGAAAAGCAGAAGTCTCTAGTAGTCCCACGAGGTTGACTGGAGCATTAGGAAGTATGAAGGGTTGAAATCAATCTTTTCACCAAATCAAACCTCCTACTGCTTAGATCCTAGATTCAAACTCTGTATAACATTTGGCTGTAAGAGGAACTAAACCTCTTTTTTGCTTTCAAGAAAGCAAGATTATATTGGGCACCAAGACTTATAGGGCTTGTTCTGCTTGAAGAAGAAAAGGATCGGGGGAGACCTTACAGCAGCCTTCCAGAACCTAAGGACTTTTTACAAGAGTATGCAGTGACAGGACAAGGTAAAATGCCTTTAAACTGAAAAAGGGCAGATTTAGTTTAGATATTAGGAAGATATTAGGAAGAAATTCTTTACTGTGAGGGTTGTGAGACACTGGAACAGGTTACCCAGAGAAGCTGTGGATGCCCCCTCCCTGGAAGTGTTGAAGTTTGGATGCAGCTTTGGATCATCTTTGAGCAACCTTTACTAGTAGGAGGTGTCCCTACCCATGGTAGGCAGGTTGGAACTAGATGGTCTCTAATGTCCCTTCTAACCCAAAACATTCCGTGATTCTATAATGATGAAGAGGCATGAAAAAGGGAGCTGTCTATTTTTTCACAGTCCTTCACTCAAGACTAAGACCTGTCCTTTTCTAAATATTTATTGTCTGTATTTGCACCAGCTCCTGCAGGAAACTTGTCATGTACATACCAACCACCCAAATGAAGCTCCCAAGCAGCAAAAAGCCATGTGTTTTAAACAGACAAGCAGACAAACATGCATTGCTCATAAAGTCATGTTTAGCAGCATTCCAAGAGAAACCTATTTCAAGGTGGGTTTTTTTTTTTTGTTTGGGTTTGGTTTTTTTTTTCATTTCAAACAAATGTGTTTTGTCTTGCATTGAAATTAATCTTGTTAGAGCTTCATCTTTCTTGCCTCACTGCTCTCACACTTGCCTCATGCTTACAAAGACTTAGAAGGCATTCATGTACTCATATCATATGACACTATGGAAAAAAATTATATATGCAGAGTTCTGGGGATTGCCACTTTCACAATAAATGCCTCTGGTGGCATTTTGCAGTCTACATCACGTGAAGAGGTAGCCTTACAGATACAGCACAGATTCCTTCCAAAAGTACACACCCATTGCTTTTGTATGTCTTTCTAAGCTCTAATACCCTCTTTTAGCTCATAATTGAATTTTTGTTCAGCTCTGTTCTTGCAAAAGGTCATCAGATCCACTGTAGGAAACATGGAAACTGATATGTCCTCTTTGGGGGGAGGTGGTTTCATCAGTAAATTTCCACCTATGACCAGTGGCACAAAAAGTAAACCCGAAATTACTTTAAGCCCCACAGACAGGAAGAGCATTTTTGCTTGCGTAAAGAATGTAGGGCTCAGCACTTAATGAGGGCTGGCCAAATTGGCTTCTTCTATAGGAATGCATAAAGGTGGAAGGAGACCACAAGCAATTTTCTCTGGAAGCCACTCGTGTGGAGTGATGGCCTGAAAGCCATGATGGTCTGCTGTGCCATCCCACAGCAAGCTGGGCAGGACAGTCCAGGCCCATTCCATGACAGAAACCAAAACAAGGGTGAAGAGGAACAATCTCCTGAGCACCCCTGACCTGAACTATGACACTGCTTCTGAAAAAGGGAGGACTTCTCCTGCACTGCACAGGAGAACTCCAGCCTTTGGCATAGAATCACAGAGTCATCGAGGTTTGGGTAGGGAGGGAGCTCAGAGGTAATGTGGTTCCTATCCCCTGCCGTGGGCAGGGACACCTCACATAGACCAGGTTCCTCAAAGCATGGTCACACTGATTTCTCTCCCCCCCACTTTGCCTCTGATCCCCTGGAAGACCTGAGTAGTCTCTCAAGATAAGAAGTCCAGCTTACTTAGAGGTTTCCAATTTGACCAAAAAAAAAAAATTTCTGTAGAAGAGGAACTGCTCTGAAAGGCAGATCCTCTCCATCTCTGTGACAAAGGAGTGGAGCTGAGCCACATTTCCCTAGGACAGCAGAAATATTTTTAGGAATTTTCCAGTCATGCTCGACCATTTTGAGGAGAGCAACATATTGTCACTACATATATCTTTACAGGGTTATTGTTTCAGCTCACAAACACTTCCCTGAGAACAGCAATGAGATCTGCCCTGTTTGTGTACTCTGAGTCCCCCACCTGAGGATGGAGTCAGGAAGTTCCCATATTCCCAGTCACAGGGAATGGGATCCACCTTGGGCATGTAAGTCTGGGCAAAGGGGAAGAGGAGGGAAGAAAGAGGCTAGACAAGGGCTGAGGCAGACTTGTCTACTCGTTGAGACACAAATTCTTTAAGCCATGAGTGACACTGAATGCACTCCCCACGGGGGAAGGGTTAGGGTGAAGAGGGGACATACACACCCACAGTCAGCTGCTGACAGGCTCCCTGCAGAGCCTGAAACCACAAGGAAGGGAGTCTGGGCTAGGCTAGCTCCTGAGAGCACCCCTGACTGCAGCGGCTGCCCCTCTGACCCCACCCAGCTTGCCTGCTCTGTGCTGGGGCAGGGAGGGTGGTGGTACATCACTCTCCTTCCAGCCTGCCTTTCATTCACGTTGTGCCTGGGTACCAGAATCTGCCCCCACAGCATTTAAAGATGCTGCTGAGAAACACTGAAGCCAAGAACTTTCTACTACTGAAAAACAACCTGGCCAGAAGGACTGGGACAGGGCCCTTCCAGATGTGCATTTCAGATTCACTTCTGTCTGAAATGAGCTGGTGACTCCTTCACTGTGCACAATGCACCTCAGAAACACATTCTTTGGCCAAGTGGAACACTCTACCCAACACACAAGGTTTCAGTGCACAAGCATTTGGGGGAAAGGAGGGAAAGGATCTTGCTGTCAAGCGTTGTATTCTTTTTGAAAATTTCAATGTTCCAAATTCTTCATACTTTGTAACTACGCTTTTCTTACTTTAAAATCAGATTTGCCCAGACCTAAAAGAACGGCTAAACAATAGGTTCAAGGGATCCAAAAGGTTTCGCACCACCGATCACTCCATGCCTGCCTGCACAGAGACCCCTGCTCCTTGCCCAGTCCTGGAAATTACACAGGCCACAGAGTGACTGATGTCAGTGGAGGCCAGCCAGCTCTCCTGTCCCTTCAGAGGAACTGGCAAATTCCTCTGCTGCCACAGGGCTGGGTCAAAATAAAGTCTGGGAACGGCCCTTCTGCCCCCGAGGGAAGCATCCTGCAGTGGTGGTGCTTGAGGGCTGCCTGTGTTACCTCATTTTGGTATCTTGGCCTCTTTCAGCCTTTTCTACATACAGAGGTTAAAGGGTTTCTGATATTGGTATTAACGTCATGTTCATATTAATCCCTGTTACAATTAGTATTAATCTCTGTTAGTGATTAGATTAACAGACCTTCCTTTCCTCTTAAACAGAGCTTTTACACCAAAATACCTGCTCAGACTCCAGTGCAAAGGGAATGTCTTGCCAGACTGTGGACAATAGGCATGATCTTTTGTGAGTATCAAAGCCACTGAAACACTGCATATTGCATTCATTTATAGCTATAAAAACTTAGGAAAGGTGCCATATTTTTGGAAGCCTTTCCTCCCTTTCTTTACAGCCACTTCTGAAACTATAAACTGATGTCAGACACACTTCTCCTGTTTCTACCAGTCACAATCAGCATGGATTTATCAACTAAAAGTTTAGTTCTAAAGATTTCCTGCAGTGAATCAGTTTCCCAGTACAGCTTCCTGAAAGGGCAAAAATGTTTCCCCTTAATGAGGGAAGAAATGCAGCACCAACTCAATCTTTGGTTTCAGGCCCTATAGCAAAACTCTTAGCTTTGCTTCAAAATCGCACTGCCCTAAAGCTGAGCAAAGCTATGCATCCCTTCTGCATACCTTTGCATCCCTGACTGCCCCGAGCTTTCACACTGTCATTTATCAATGAAGCAATTACACCTGAGTTAATAACCACTTAGCAAAACCAGCAGAGGAACATTAATTAAAACAAAACGACGCCAAGGCTTGTTCTTCTCCACCGACCGTTGCACGGCTGGCAAAACCATAAAAAAGAGGAATGTCACGACAGTCGGGAAATAAATCGGCAAGAAAAATCTGCCTGCATTCTTGTGTCAAATCCACGCACACACTTTTCTGATGGGGAAAAAAGGCAGGTAGTGATAGTACGAGAGGCCAAACCGGACACTCGGGCACCAAGTATAATCTCAGCTAATGGGTTTTTGGGGGCAAAAAACCCCACTTGCACAGGTGTGCACAGGCAGCCCGCTGCCACCTGCCTGGGGACACGGGGGCACCTGCCCACGAACCGCGGGGGAGCCGCCTGGTCCGGGTCCCCGCCGCCCCCGCCCGCCCGCCCCGCCGAGCCCGGCCCGGGAGCGGCCCCGGAGCTCCGGCCGAGGGCACAGGGACACCGGAGGTGGCATCGGGGTGGGGGCAGCGGGAGCCTGACCGTCCAGCGCCAGCATGGATGGGAAGTCCTTGCAGTTGGAGACGCCGGTGGAGTCGGTCACGCAGGTCTTCCAGAGGTTGGCCCAAAAGGTGGCGGTGGTGATGACCGTGCCATCGATGGTAGACACCTTCCAGTAGTCGGTGGGCAGCGTGGAGGACACCAGCACCCATCCCGAGATGGTCAGCAGGAAGGCGATGATCTCCGCCGACGTGCTCGCCATGGGCCCGGCAGCAGCGGCGGGAGCCGCGGCGGATCCCGGCGGCGGCGGGCGGAGCGGAGCCGAGCCGAGCCGAGCCGAGCCGGGCCGAGCCGGGCAGGGCGGAGCGGGGGCGGCCGCGCAGCCCAATGAGCACCGGCGGCTCCCGGCATCGCCCCGGCCCGGCCCCGCCCCGCCCGGGCCCGGCGTCGCCCCGGGGTGCGCGGAACGGAGCCCGCACGGCCGGCGGGCGCTCCCCGGGCTGGCCCAGTGAACCGGACCCGAAAGCAAACAGCGGCAAACAGCGGATCTGTAATGCGGGGTTAGATCCCCCTTCCTCCGCAGGTGCCCGTGCGGGGTCCGGAGGGGATGGCAGCAGCGGGACAGGGGCGTCCTCAGCATCTCCTTCCCAGCTGCGGGTTTGCGCCTCTCTCCCTGTGACCCCGCGCCATCCTCCCCACAAAGCGCCTCGCCAGAAAGGTGGCTTCGAGGAATACTTGGACAATCCGGGTGTGCCGACCGTGAGCACTCCATATTCCTACGGGGCAAAAGCTTCTGAAACGCATAATAGGGTTTTTTAATCCTCTGAATTTCAGCTGGCCCCTGATATTAACCAGCCACAGGTGATACAGCGTTTGATACGTGTTATAGCAATGTGAGGTGATGAACTTGGGATTTTCTACCTCCGTTTTCATGCAGTGGCATTCGAGCCTGCGGCTCACAGGTGGAGCATTATCCTCAGTGGTTTCTCCTCGTTTGAAGCTGTTTACTTTCCACATCAGTAGTGTATTTGCCATTGATGTGGAAAGTACACTGCCGGTCTTTACTTTCCTCCTATTTATGTCAAAACTATTGTTACATTTTCTAAACCTTTTTGCCAGATGGGCAATCACTGGAGGATAAGAAGCCATATTTGCATCATTATTCTTCTGATGAATGCTCTTTGGTTTTGCCGTGTGGACACAAACCCGGATGTAATCACCTTACAGACATATATTAAAAAAAAAAAAAAGGAAAAGGAGAAAAATCTCAGAGTTGGGTGTACCTTTGGATGTGTGTCAGAGCTCAGTGGGAACAGGGTGTTTGTTGATCTGTCAATGCTCCAGCAGGATAAAAGGGGGTCCACAGACGCATTTAGTGACGCAGTGGCTCTCTGCCTGCTCTCTGCCTCCTTGGTACCCTCTGACTTTCAGGTGACGCACTTCCCTCCATTGGCAGGGAAGAAGGACTGGGAAAAGCAGGCAGGAGGCTTGTTTGCACAGCAGCATTGGGCATGGGGCATGCTGCAGCTCCATTCACCCTCTGGGCCAAGATGCCTTCCTCTCTCCCCGGGAGGGAAAAGAAACAGGGTCCTGAAGAAGGCCTGAAGAAGCCTCCTCTGTGATGTCAGGCTGTAGCCAGAGCTCACTTTGGAACACTGGGATAACTGTAGATCCAAGTCCCATCTCCATGATATTATGATCTAGTTATCGTAGGGCATGGCAGAAGAAAGGAAAAAGGAAAAAAAAGATTTTTTCAATATTTCCCCCAGTATTAGTGCTTTGAGATCTTGCAGTCTGGAATTATGTTGGTCCTGGTAACGTAGATCAATCCAAGCAATCAACTAGGATCTAATCAAGTCTGAGGTAGGAGACTCGAGTCCAAACTTGGGTCATTGTGTTTCTTGACATGGGAAGCTCACCTATTGTTTTGTTGATAACACTGCTTTGCTTGGTGAATCCAGGGAGCAGCATTTCGGCAAATTTTGGCCAGGGCACATCAGAATTTTGGGGTGTGCTGTCATGCAATAACCAGAAGGCTGGAGTGAGTGTTGAAGGACAGGAACACAGCCAGAACAGCTCTAGGCCTGAGTCTGAGCTGCTGGTAAGGAGAGGAGGAGGGTTTTCCTGAAGAGCACAGGCACTGCTCCCCAGAGGGCCAGCAGGAGTGGAGGCTGGTGAGTGACCCTGCCGAGGGTGGGCAGTCCTGCTGAAGCTGCCGTGGCCTCTGGCTGTGATGTCCAACAACCATCTGTGCTGTCCCAGACCACGCTGCTTTCAACAGAGCCAGACTTGGCCATGTGCAGCGTGGATCCACATCTCCCTGAGGGCCACCTGCCTGCTGCCAGGGACTTCAGGCTGAGCCCATGCAGGTGGCTTAGGACAAATGAAAATATTTCAGCTTCAAACCCACTCTCTGCCTGCCCATAAGGACCCTTCAAGCAGGGCTAATTTATATGTTCATTCCCTTGTAAGCCCTGTTTTATCCAGAATGTTGTAAAGTGGCCTGAGTGTGCAGGAGAACCAGGCTTGCTTTAGCTTCAGGGAAAGGCTCCTCCTTTCATCTCCTGATGCTGTTGCTTCTGAGGATATTTTATGTTACTAGTCCAGTTGTTACCATCTTTCTCATCTAAAATCAGAGCAAGACGTTGCACTTCTGATCTCAGCTTTGGTGATGTAAACCCAAAATGACATAGTGCACAGCTGAGGGTTCCCCCAGGCTGAAGAGTGAGGGAAGTTGCAAGAAGTTACTCTTCCATGGTGACATTTTCTTCATGCTGGCTGGAATCTGTAAGGATAAGACATTGGAAAACATTCATCTGGGAGGCTGTCTTTCTCCCTTTTTCTTCAGCTTGTTTCTCTTGTGCAACTGCAAGTCCCTTTAAGTCAGCTTAACTCATGCATCTTCCAGTTTTCCAGGATACTGTGGCCTGTTGATGTGGTAGGAGCTTTAGCATCCATATGAAGACATTTCTGTATCTCTCTTCTACCTCTGTCTTCCTGCTACCATAACTCTGGCATTGGATTTGCTTCCTTGGCTTTCTTAGCTATTTATACTTTATGTAGTAGAGCAAAAGACTTGGCCTTTGTTTTGGTTTTTCTTTTGTTGGATTGCTTTTTTGAGTTTTTTTTTGTTCCTGTGTTTTGGGACAAGTTATGACTTGGGAAATTTTTGAAAGTTCCTCAGGCTGCTGTGGGACTGATTTCTGTTTTCTTCTCTTCATAAGCTGATCATGTCAATACAACAGCACATTTTTTTGCTGGGTCATTTGAGGAGTATGGGGTTTATTCCCTTGGACTGGGGACTGGGTTTACTCCCCTGGACTTAAGAAAGGTGCTCATGCCTTTTTTTAAGAAAAACAACCCTTGTGGTTCATTTTTTTGTGGCAAGTTTCATTGACTTTTGGGTGTAAAAGTGGCATTTAGGGGAAAAATAGTAGTGTTTAGAATAGGCTATTTCATTTGGAAGGGACCTGTGTTGATCATCTAGTCCAGCTGCCTGACACTTCAGAACTGACCCAAAGTTAAAGCGTGTTACTAAAGGTATGTCCAAATACCTCGTAAACACTGACAGGCTTGGGGCATCAACCACCTCTCTAGGGAGCCTCTTCCAGGGTTTGACCATGCTCTCAGTAAAGAAATGCTTTTCCTAATGTCCAGTCTGAACCTTCCATGGCACAGCTTTGAACCATTCCTACGCATCCTATTGCTGGATTCCAGAGAAGAGATCATCTTCAACTTCCCCCCCTCAGGAAGCTGCAAAGAGCAATGAGATCACCCCTCAGCCTCCTTTTCTCCAAAAAAGACAAGCCCAGAGCACTCAGCCACTCCTCACAGGACATGATTTCCAGCCTCTCACCAGCTGCTGTCCTCCTATTGATGCATTCAAAGACCTCAACATCCATCTTAAGTTGTGGACCTAGCACTGCACACAGCACTCAGGGTGAGGCTGCACCAGTGTTGAAGAGGAAGGGAGGATCCCCTCCCTTGACAGGCTGGTGATGCTCTGTTTTATGCACCCCAGGAAGGGGTTTGCCCTCCTGGCTGCCAGGACACTTGGCTGACTCACACTGATCCTGCTGCTGACCAGCACCCCCAGATCCCTCTCCAGCTGCTCCTCTCCCAGTTTATACTGATTCCCACCCTGTCCTAGGTACAGAAACCAGCATATGGACTTGTTACATTTAATCCCATTAATCATTGCCCAATGCTCCAATGTATTGAGATCACTCTGCAAAACCTTTTGTCCCCCAAGAGTGTCAACAACACCTCCTGGGCTGGTGTCATCAGCTAATGGTGTGTTCAAGCCCTGCATCCAGATTGCTGGTATTGGACAGATCTGGCCTCCAGGAATGAGGTGTGAGGAACACCACTGGTGACCATTGTCCATCCAGATGTAACCCCACTACAACCCTTTGGACTTTGTCCTTCAGCCAGCACACCATGAATCCAATCATCCCACAGCTGGACAACTTGTGCAGAAGGATGGTGTAAGGGACAGTATGAAATCCCTGACTTGAATCCAGAAAAACTCCATGCCCCGTCTTCCCTTCATCCACCAGGTGGGTGACCTTATAATAGAAGGATATGAAATTAGTTAAACAGGATTTTCCCTTTGTGAGCCCGTGTTGACTGTGCCTGGGGATTGCATTGTTCTTTAAATGCCTTCTGACAGTACCCAGTGTGATCTTCTCTGCAACTTTTCCAGGAACTGAAGTTAGACTAACAGGTCTGTAGTTCCCTGGGCCTTCCCTCACATCCTTCTTGTAGATTGGAATAACATTGGCTGGGTTCCAGTCAGCAGAGACCAACCCCAGGCTACTGAGGTTTTTGAACTACATACATTTTACAAATCAGGCTGGGATATAAGGAAATAGTTGAATTTTCATAATGTACAAACTTTTTATTATATTGCCATCTACAGAAAAACCCTTCAGAGACAGTTGTGCTCTCAAGTCTGAAATACAGGATATTATTTTAGCTCTTGCAGGCTCAAAATTACAAGCAATCATTATTGCCTCATAAGTTAAACACTGGACGACAACAGCATTTGTTCTGCAGCCAGGACAGGCAGGCTAGGGTCGTCATGCCTTTGTCCCAGAGTAATTTTTCTTGTAATTTTACCATGCATAGGTTGGGCAATTTGAGACTCTTTCCTGGCTTTGCCTTGTTATGATTTCCAGGGTGCCTAGAGCACTTGTGCAAAAGCAAAAAGTCCCAACTTTATTTTCTTCAGCTGAAGGACAGCTTCCTTGTCTGCTAGGG